TGAAACACGACACATGCTCAACACCTTCGTACGTGATGTGCTGACTCACATCTTCCGAACGGTAACGATGGATGGTTGCCTGGGCAAGCGCCTTCGAGGAACGAAGGCCGCATGCCTGACACGGCACATGATGCGCGGGAGCATACCTCATCGAGGGAGCCCCTACCGGATTTCAGCCAGGCCAGTGGCCTTCTCGGCCGTGTCAGCACGGGCCGCCCTGTCGCGGCAGCTTTTTTGTGGCGTGTGCTGGAGTCCTGCTTTGTCGCCCAGCGCACCAGATGACCTACCTTTTCCTTGCCGCGTTGTGCACGAGGCCATGATCCGCGCCCTAGTCTGACCCTCATCTCGTCCCCTCATTCCCTGTTCTCCCCTCCCCGGTCGGATCGCTCTTCTTCCCCCCTTCCGTCTCTCCTCCCCTTCGCTTCCCGCCTCATCTTTCCCCCTCCTTCCTCTGAGCCCTCCTTGGCCGAGCGGGGGGGCCATTCTTGATCCGAGTCCCTCCCCTTCTGCCAGTGTCCATTCCCATGTCTGGTCTGGCCACCTCTGTTTCACCACCAGGCGACGGAATACTGCGCTCGGACCACGTAGCTTGTCGCAGGGACCCCCTTGTATAAAGGGATGTAATTTCCCTCGTTTGGAGTGTAAATTTATGACCAGCTGTGGCAGCTAGTGGAAAGTGCTTCTGACCCAAAAAGATATTCGTTGGGTCAGCATCCAGCATTGGTAGGCAATGATATGGGGAGAAGAAGAGGAGACCAATTACCCTGGATGCATCGCCTCCATGCCAAGGTGGAGAGAGTTCCAGCTAGGGGACGGTACAAGAGGGGCAGGCTTTGTTCTCCTTGTTGACATGTTTGATCTCGTTGTGCGCAGATCGTTGTGCCACCCATCTTAAGGGCATTGCCCTCTGGCGTTTCCCCCCCTTTCCTCTCCTGTCTACTTCGACTTCTTTCCCCAGGGGTGCCGCGAGCCGCCAGAGTTCGGCTCCAAAAAATTCCCATCGGCGGAGGTAAGCCTTGAAGTGCGGGTTCTCCGCCCCAGACACTTGGCCGTTCCGTCCCGGACCTTGGAATTACTTGGGAGAGTCTGCTCGAGGACCAGTAGTATCGAAGACGTCCGCTGTGGATGACGGTTGTACGGTCCGTGTGCAAATTCATCCGAGTATGTGCGTCCTTCTAGACCTTCTTCGTGGCGGTTGCAGCTTGGTCCCAAAAGTTTGCCCCGCACCTGGAACATGTCGCTACGCACTCTTTGGGTGCGAGAATGGATCTTGGTAAGGTCTCACTTGGGAGGGTGATGTAGTGCACATCAATTTGGAAGTCGAGCGACATGTTGGACGTCCGTGTCTAGCAGTTTCGCCGACTGGCCGAGGGTCGAGGTTCGAGGCTGTCGGATGCTTGGGACGCGTCTTCGGGAATCTGGAAATTCTTCGGGACCTACAGAGGCCACTGGAGCCCAATGCTCCAGGACATCCTCTCTGTATTACTGGCAGGTTTGTCCAAGGCTCGGGGACGTAATTCCCTTGATCAGGGAAAGGTTGCAGCCGACGGGGACGTGGTTCCCTTGATCAGGGAAAGGTTGCAGCCGTCAAACTGAAGCCCAGTATCAGTCTGAGCAGATCCAGTTGTCAACAGTAAATGCCCTCGCGGATCTGACGATCTGGGAGCATCTGGGAAGCGGAGTCTGGGGCCACTTTGGAAATCCTGAGGGCTCTCTTGGGGCCGTCTTGGGGCCAAATGTTGAAGAACACCTCTCCGTCAGAGCCCGAAAAGTTGCCTCGTTGAGCCCTTGGAGCCCTCTTGGGACGCTCTGTGGGCGCTTTGGGGAAGCCCTTCATGGCCCCTGTTGTGGCACTGTTGGGCGATCTTGGAGGCATCTTACATGGATCCACTAGAAGCGAAAGAGCAAGAAGGCGCAAATCTATTGACAACTTGAAGTTTGGGATGGAATGTGGCTCTCGTGGTCAGCCTTGGAAGGCTCCGAGGCCGCTTGGAGCCACCTTGGAGTCTTTGGAGGCATGTGGCCATCTTGACTCAGATCACACCATCTTGGAAGCAATCGAATAGCTAAAATAATCAAAACACCCTAGTTGTTCCAGTGCTGTGGCTCATGACTGAGGCGGCCTCAGTCGGAGCCGGACACACTGAATATTGGGGCGCTCTGGGGGCCGCACGTGGGTGCTTTGGAGCCTTTCGTGGGAGCCTGCCTACTGGGCCACGACAGATCCAGATCGAGGCCGCGCCAGCCCATCGAAAGCGTAATGACGCGAAAGCACAGATCGTCAGAAAATTGGTGCTGTGATTATGAGTTGAATCATGTATTGTCAGGGCACTCCCTTGCCCGCTTGAACCGCCTGCTTGTTGAAAACCAGATTCAATTATGTTGTGTCAGATTGGATGCCAGATTGGGCTGTCTTGGACGCCCTAATGGGTCGCCCCCTCCCCCGCCCAGGCCCGCGCACCCGCGCATCCACTTTCAGTCCACAAGTTGAGGACCAGTTTGGCTTCTAGTCCCTCGCAAGTTGCGGTCAAGATTGTCTTCTTGCACAGCATCACTACGTAGCACAAACAAAGAAACCTTGACACTTGCACAACGCCACTGGCTTGCGTTCGAAATAGTTCCACAACATCCCCCATATGTGTAGTGTTGTTCGCTATGTTTGGTCATGCATTATTTTCAGATCGTTTGAGAATGTTCTGCGCATAGTAATGCGTTCGTTCGGAGATGTCGTTCGGGGTATGATGCGCGAACGAACAAATAAGATGGGCCCGGGCTAGGAAAACTATCAAGCACGAGCGCAGCCAGCAAAAGCAGTTGCACGATTCCCCACCTGCCACCTTGGATTTCAAGAACAGACCTCTTGGCCCGCCCACCCTGCATACCACTGCCGGGAGATCCTCAGGTCCACCGAGAATCCCCCGATACCCCAGCCTCGCGCCGACCCGCCGGTCCCCAGGTCCACCGAGAATCCCCCGCGACCCTCGCCTGGCCCCTCGGACGAACACGACAAAACCTAATAGTATTGAGAATAGCACGACACTCAGGAAGGGAAAAAACACAAACAATTAATCGTCGATTCCTCAGAACATCATGACATAACCGAAAATAGCACAAGACAATATGACGTCTTTATAACTGAGAAAGCTGATCGGGGCATCACATGACACATCATAAGAGAACATACCATTGCACAGCATGACAAAGTATACCATGACAGAGCGTGGGATCACACATTACCACAACCATAACATAGCATAGTAGAATACCATGCATACCATATCCTAGCAATACATGACAGAACATTGCATATCATAACGCAGCATTACAGCTGGCATTGGGAGGCGAGGCGGTGCTAGAAGGGAGACCGCGGCAATTGCGGCGGGCGCCAAGCGGCAGGGATGCGGCCGCAAGCCGCTCAACGATCGAAACCTTGCGGGCTAGTTACCTGCAGCGGTCAAGCAGCCGCAAAACTTACCCAGCGGCTGGGAAACACAAAAAAGTTGTTGACACGCTTGGGCAAACGTTGGAAGCACTCCTCCGTTGGGAAAGCTCGGGAGATTACGATATGCAAGATCTGCGAAATCGGTGAACGTTTGCTGTTGGATTATATTTGGCACTTGAAGGCAGATAGAGAATGTTTGGGCGCTTTTCGCGGCAAAGTGATTGCGCAGAATTTTGGGAACACCGCCTTCATATATCTCAAGGATCAGAAACGTACGCAATACGTGTGGCACACTAGTACGTGACATGACGCAATGCATGTTCGTTGTCATTTTCGTGACCATGCCCCTCTTCCTCCGTCACTCGGGCGCGCAACTGGCGCGCCGCAGTTGCGCCGGCAGCAAGGGGTTTCCATAGTTGCCGACACGGGTTTCCAGAATTCTAGACGCTTCGCGTATCCCCACCAGTCCATCCAGAAACGATGCCCAGGCGAATGGAGGTGATCAGGGAAGTGAGGGAGCATACAGAGTAACACAGGGCCGGGGAACCCGTCTTACCGAAGACGGCGAGGATGGAAGAGGAATCGGAGAAGGATGAGGAGGAGGAATTGAAGGAGGAGGAGGGGGAGCGGGAGGAGGGAGGAGGGAGGAGGAGGAATAGGCGGATGAGGAGGAGGAGGAGGAGCAGGAGGAGGAGGAGAAGGGCGAGCAAAATGGCCAGAGGCTTCTTGGATGCCTCTCGGAGTCTCTTCGGGTGTCTCTTGGGAGCGTCCTAAAGGCCTCTTAGGGCGTCTTGGGAGCGTCTTGGCGGTCCCGGAGGCTTCTTGAAGCGTCTTGGGTGCCTCGGGGAACCTCTTGAGGCCTCTTGGGGGTTTCTTGGGAGCCTCTTGGGGGCATCTTGGGGGCATCTTGGGGCCTCCTGGGCGCCTCTTGGGGCCCTCTTGGGGCGCTTTGGGGGGCGTTGGGGGCGCTCTTGGGGCCATCTTGGAGGAGATCGATCAAAGAAAGGGAGTGTCCGGATTCGCCCTGCCCCTCTAGAGCGCCTAAAACCGACTCTTGGGCTCCTCTTGGAGCGCTCTTGGAGCGCTCTTGGGCGCTCTTGGGGCCGTCTTGGGACCATCGTGGGCCCCTCTTGGGGCCCTTTTGGGCCATTTTGGAGCCATCTTGAGGCCTCGAATGGCCATCGGATGAAAAGGCGAGAAAGCAAAAAACAGTGATTGCCCTTAGGTTTTTGAGGAATTCTGGCCTCTTGGAGGCCCCCTGGGAAAGCTAGCTGGCCTCTTGGAGCCGTTTTGGGGTCTTCGGGCCTATTGGAGCATTTTCGGTGCCATCTTGAGGCATCTGAGGCTAGCTCGAGCAATCTTGGAGCTCATCTTGGGTTCCCCGAGGCGCTCTTGGAGCCATCTTGGGCGAGAGAGAGAGCGCGCGGCTGAGGGCGAACGGTCTCTCCTCCCCGCGCGCGGCCGCGGCCGCGCCTTCGGCGCGCGGGCAGCGGCGGCCGCCCAGCGCCGAACGTCGAGGGTGTACTGGGAGTGCGCGCACTCGTACACCACCACAGGACCGGGTCACAGCAGCTCCAGCTCAATCGCCACGTCCCCGTGCGGCGATTTCCCGTCTGCCAACTTGGTGAGCGCCGCCGTCGCCTTCGCCGAGGGAGCCAGACACTCGCGGGCGAAGCTCGAAGCACGGCGCGACCCCAGCGCGCCACAGGTGAGGCAGGCGACGACGGGCATCTCACGCACCATCTGCCGCTCGTTATGCGGCCGCACCCTCGCAAGGCGGTGAGGCCTGAGCCCGCCGCTGCGATGAGCAGCGTTCAGGTCGAGAGCCGCTGCCACGATGCTGCCCGGGCAGGCCGACTTCCTCTCTACCCAGCGGCACACCGCGCACCACCGCTTGCCCGCGGGCCCGCGCAGCTGGCACTGCAGCGGCGGCGCCGCAGGGGCAGCTGCCACAGCGCGCGGCGCAGGTCGATTGGCTTTGCCCTTGCGGTGCGTGGTGTCCGCGCCGCCCACCGCCGAGCCCACCGCGGACAGCCACATCGCCACTCCCTCCACCATCTTCTCGCTCTGGAGCAGCTTCAGGCGGCTGGCGTGAGGAAGCCTCGCATGGGCCGCCGCCGACTTGGCCGCCTGGTCCGCCAGCCTGTTGCCGTACCAGTCGCGGTAGGACACGACCCCGTCGAGGATCTGGCGCCTCGTGCAGTGGGCCTTGACCCAGCGGATCGTCAGGCCCCCCGCGCACAAGCCCCCGAACTCGTCGACAAGCCGCCACACCTCCCTCCAAAGGTGCGACCAGGCGTACACGTACGAGCACGTGCGCTCTCGACCGTCCACCGTGAGGCCCAGGAACACGAACTTGGAGTCGACCACGGCAGTGACGGGCGGCACCGCGTAGCGCAACGTAGCGAGGAGCGCGCTCAACTCGCCGCCATTGATGTCCATGAATGGGCCAGTCATCATGCCCGAAACGCCCGTCGAGAACACCTCGCAGTTGGACTGGAGCGCGATGACGGCCCAGCCCACGCTGGTGAACTGGGAGTACTCGCCCTCGAAGGCAGAACCGTCCAGGAAGAGCTCGCCAGATGGCAGCACGCCGTCACCGTTGCCGAACCAGCAGACCGCGTCGGACCGAGGTGGCATCACGAGTCCTTTCGGCGCTGGCCACAGCGCCCGCTCCAGGAGGCAACGCACCTCGGGAAGGTCATCAGCACGCTGCCGCAATAGCCGCATACGCTCGGGCAGGCGCAACTCCTCTGGCCGTCCTGTGCAGTCGCAGTGCCGGTGCAGCAGCGTGCCAGGCTCTCCGCACAGCAAGCAGTCCTCATCTTGCGCAAGCCCCGCGCAATGCTTCCGCTGCTGGGGCCACTGCCCATCGGCGACAACCGATGCCAAGTAGCCGCGCTCTTTGGGCGTGAGCCGCACAACCCTGCCAGCAGCATCACGTGGCACGCCGGCGCTCGGTGACCTTGGGGGCTCCTCGGCAGCGCCAGGAAGGTCACCGGCCCCGGGGGCCTCCTGGCCAGCGTCCGGCAGCACACCAGCGTTCGGTGACCTTGGAGGCTCCCCAGCAGCGCCAGGGAGGTCACCGCCGGCCCTCGGCGGCCCTGCAGCGTCGCCGCCCTCCACGTCCTGCGCCTGCACATGATCGCCGAATACACCCTTGCGGCTAACGGCGCCTGTAGAGGTCATGCGAACCAGCGGCTCGAGCACACCGCCGTCGCGCAGGTGGGCAAGCTCGGGCTTCTTGGCCACCTGCTGCCACTGCCAAGCCTCGACCGCACGCCACAGCAGCCGCTTGACCAGCCATGGGCTTACCTCAAACACCTGCAGGAGTTCGCCCTCGTGCGTGCGCCACGTGGCCGCGTCGATGATAGTCCAACCGATTCTCTCCAACGTCATGTGCACCGCAGAGAACGGTCCACGCACCTGAGGCCAGGAGGAAGCACCGCACTGCATCATGCCGAAATCGATCACATGCCGGGGCAGCCAACCTTCCCACACGGCCCGCAACAGCGCCATGACAGGCAGCACGGTGGCCCGGTACATTGGATCCATCATCTTGGCCAACATGAGGGTGAGAGTGCGAGACCGCCCTGCAGTGGAAGGCACCATGGCGGAGAAGACGAGCGACCGCGTCTTGTCCAGCTCGCCCGTGGCGCAGCCCGTGACGCTGAAGCCGTAGGACACGCTCGCCTCCAGGCCCGAGCGCGCGACCTTCCTGGTCGCAAGCTTGCGGCCACGTCCCACCTTCAGGATGTTGACGCGCCAGATGCGGAGCCCCGCCTGCACCAGCTTCTCCTGCCTCACCGTGCGCACGATGCGCTTGCCGCAGGCGAAGTCGACCCCGAGGTTGCGCTCCCCCTTCACAGCCTGCACGCCCAGAGGACGACGAAGGCGACGCTCGAGGTCCTGACGGGCACACGGCACGTTTGCCAAGGCCCTCGACTTCTTCATTGCCACGTTGAGGTCCACCTCCTGCAAGAGCCCGCCCAGGCGAAAGGCAGCATCCGCCACCTCCCGCGTCACACGCGCCACCCCGCCGACACGATAGAGCACGAGGTCGTCCACCACCACCGCCAGAGACACCGTCCGGTGGAGCGCCTGCAAACGGTCCAAGGGCTCGATGAGCATTAGCTTGAGGAAGGGCGTTGCCCACCCATCGCCTGGCAAGATCGCCTGCTTCGCCACAATGGGGCGCGACGAAGCTGGGCCTAGGCACAGGATCCGCGGCGCGCAATACAGTTCCACCTGCAGCTTGAGCTGCCAAAGGGGGAAGCCCGTGCGCCTGGCCGCATCGAGCAACCAGTGGTGCCGCACCTGCTCGAAGGCCTTGAGCAGGTCCAGCAGCACCGCCACCGCCACCCACGACATCTCGTCGCCGTCGTGCTTCCCTTTCGCCGTGGCCCACTCGCCCATGGCCGCCTGGTGCCACACGGCACGCTCGCAGCTGCGCCCAGCCGACGCCCACCAATATGAGCGAGCGTTGCGCTGCTCCCACTCTCGCGCGATGCCGCGTCTAAGCCGTGCCTGCGCCCGCGCCAGGATCATGATGATCGCAATCGGCCGCACACCGCCCAACCGCTTCTCGAGGAAGCCGATCTTGGTGGAGAGCTCGGGCCACTTGGCGTCGCGCTCCACCGCCACCAGCACGTCGATGAACACCTCCAGGGCCGCGTCGCACAGCTCGTCAAGCTGCCGCGGCTTGACGACGCAGAAGGACACCCCCGAGCCCTTCTTGAAGGTCCGGAGGACCTTCTGGAGCTCATCGACCGACGGCCGAGGCGGCCGCTCTCCAAGGTCCGGCGGCCATCGCAAGGCATCCGGCTTGCACGAAGTCCTCCACCAGCGGCTCCACTCCTGCTCCAGCTGCTGGATCTCCTGGCCAAGGTCGGCGGGCGCGTGCCACTGGGTGGCTGCGCTGCCAGCCTGGCCGCCCTCGGCGGCGAGCTCGTCCACCTCTTCGACGTCGGGGCTGACGTGCATGCCCATCGGCACCTTGGACACAGCATGAAGCCCGCCACCGCCGCCTGCGGCCTGCACGGCAATCCAGTCGGCGAAGCGTTTGGCCCGTTCGTCCATGTCCTTGGCAGCGAGCCGCTGCGACTCCAAGTGGACGGCCTTCGCCATGGCGCTCAGTTGCGCCAGTTCCAGCCGATGCAGCGGCAGGTTACTCTGGACACGGAGCCACATGCTGGCGTCCAAGGCAGGCCCCGGGCACTCCACCCCACGACGGACGACAGGCGCAGAGCGCACAACGTCACCCTGGGCTGCCTCTTTCACCAGCTTGGGCGCCTTCCCGAGCAGCCCGCGAACACCTCGTAGAGCACGCAATCGCTCCAGCGGCCGATCCTCACAGGAACCAGCGACCCGAAGAAGCTCACCCAGTCGATGCAACCACGTCGCCTCCATGGACACGCGGGGCCAGCGCGCAGCGCGCGGCGGCAGGCGACGCACCCGGCGCTGCACGGGCTGATGACCACGGCCAGTGTGCTTGCCGCGATCCTCCTCCACCTGGTAGATGTCAACCCACTCGTGCTCCGCCTGCTGCAGGAACCACTGCCAGGCCTGAGTGATGGGCTCGCTCGGCGTGCCTGCATCCCCTGATGCATACCCTCCGCCATCGTGCTCTGGCAGGGCCGCAGGCGACTTTGGCGCGAGCCGCCCGTCGCGCCCTCCCGCGCCATGCGGCCCTGACCGACCCGAGCCGGCCAACCCCAGCAGCAATTGCACGTTGGATGACGTGGTGGCCCCTCTCAACGTGTGATCCTCGGACCAACAGCCCATGGGCCTGTCGACAGGGAACGGCTTCGGCAGCTCCAGCACGCGAATCCATGGCCTCTCACGCTGGCCTACTAGAGTAAGCAGCACAGGCCGGTGAGGAGACACAGGAGACGACGTGATGACCTCCACCCCACAGAGCTTGATAGCCCGAGCCACCAAGAACATATCAATGGACCGCTCGGACTGCACGCAGGTGGCCTCCAGCGTGGTCACGCACTCCGCGTCGAACCAATTGAGAATGCCGAACTGCTCCAGCTCAGCCTTCGTTACGTTAAAGTCGCCGCCCACCACGTACGGCATGCCGTACTCACGCAGCCGGATGGCCAGCATCCGAAGGGCCTCGTAATTGCCACGATTGACCCCGACGCCCGACTCCAGGTACACATTCGCAAGGATGATGCCTCCGCGCACGAGGCAGCTGCAGTGCATGATCGACACGCGGCCCTCGATGAGGACGGCTGGGCGCCCGCCCAACATGGGCGCCAAGCCGCTCCTTGACCATGGTCACCAGCCCGCCGGTGGCCAATCCGCCCGCAAGGGACGGCACAGCTGGCGCAGCATATGCCCGCCAGCCTCTCTTGCCGAGGTCACTCTCGGCGTCAGGAGACCGAGCTGCACACAACCTCGTCTCCTGGAACAGCACCGCATCGCAGGCGGTGATTTCCTCGATCATGCACTTGTCGATGTTGCTGAACGTGTTCATGTTGAGAGTGCCAAGCTTCCAGCGCGTGGGGCTACCCACACCGCTGCTTCTTGGCCAATTCCCTCTTTGCGAGAAGCTCGGTCTGCAGCTGCTCCACCCACTTCCGCTTGTCGGCGTCGCCTTTGCAGAAGTCGTCGTTGAAGGAGCTCCAGAAGCTCGAGTCCTGCAAGGGGTCTTGCATCTCGATGTCGTCAGCAGCCTCAGCAGCGGGAGGTGGCTTGCCCTGGCCACCCTCACCAGGGCCTCCAGCAAGCCTGCGACGGCGGCGACTTCGGCGGCAGGCTCAGGGCCGGCCGCGGTAGCCGCGGCAGGAGCTGCCACTGCCAGGATCTTGGCGCCGTCCGCAACAATCTGCGCGAGGAGCTCGCCCAACGGCCCCGTTGCTGCGCCGTCGCCCAGCTGGGCGGAGACCTTCTTCGCCATGCTGACGTACCTGCCGAGCGAAGGCGCTGCCGCAACGGCCTCCGAAGCTGCAGGCGCAGACGCAACCGCGGGCTCGGCCTTCGCCTCCTCGACTGCAGCTTTCGCCTTCTTGACCGCCTCGTCGAGCTCGAGGCGGAGGAGGCGCACTTTCTTCCCCTGCTCCGCCACCACCTCCAATGCCTGCTCGGCCGCGGCGCGCCGCCGGAACAGGAGGTCCGTAGCCTTGTCCAGCTGGAGGGCCTTCTCGTCGGCCTGCACCTGGACTTGACCTGCGACAGCTCGCCCAGCGCGGATTTTGCGAGGAAGCGCGCTTGGCGAAGCTGCTGCCGCTCGGAAGGATCCAGCAGCGCAGCCATGCTGTCGAAGGTGGCGTCGTCCATGCCCATATACACCGCACGCTGCTCCTCGGCCAGAGGAGGGCGTTGCTGCGACCCGCTGTCGCGCCCGCCCGTGCCCTTGCCGAGGTCGCCGTTGCCATTGCCACCTCCGCCTCTGCGCTTGTCCTTCTGATCCTTCCGGCCTGTGGCTCCAGGCCCATTGACCCACACGGCACCAGGAGGGAGGCGAGAAGCACCAGCAGGAGGCGGACGCGGGTTCCGCGTATCGGGACGACACCCGAAGCAGCCGGC